CTAGGCCAGGCTGCTCAGGTCTTTATCCCGTCAAGTCTCCAGGGGTGGATATCCTACAACCACACTGTGCAACCTATGGCACTGACTGTCCTTATGGGGAAAAGTTTTTCCTTATGCCCAGTTTAAACATCTCATTTATGTTATGTAATTTATGCCAGTTGTCCCTCACCCTACTGCCATACACCAGTACAAAGGAGTCTGGCTCCTTCTCCTCAGTGCTGCCCATAGGTATTAGGAAGCTACTGTTTGGTCCCCTTGAAGCCACCTTTTCTCCAGGCAGAACAAGTCCTACTGGTACATTCTTCCCTCAGTGCTCAAGCCCCTGATAACTCTGGTAGTCCCCACTGACTCCCTCCAACTGCTAGACAGCTTTCCTGCACTGTAGCCACAGTGGATGCAGTACTACACAGGGTCTCCTGGGGTTGGGTAGGGGAGATAACCACATCGCTCCATCTGCTGGTTGTGCTCCTGTGATGTTGCTATGCAGGGCCTCACTGTGGGCTCATGTTCAGCTTGTTGTCCACTGAGAATCCCTGCAGGCCTTTTCAGCAGTGCTGCTCTCCAGCAATCAGTCTGGCAATTCCAAACTGTTCTCTGGTCTGGCAAAACACTGTTGCCTGTATGTTGCAAGGGGTTCTTCCTTTCTAGGTGCAGGAATTTACATTTGTCATCGTTACATTTCGTAAGATCTCTGCTGGCCTATTCCTCTTGCCCACATAGGTGCCTCTGAGTGGCAGTTCTGCCCTCAAATAGAACAGATTCCCCCAGTTTGCCGTCACCTGTACAGTTAATCAGAGTATACTGTGACACTTCCTCCAGGTGACCAATAAGAGATTTTAAATAGGAGAGATCACAGAATACACTCATGTGGTGCTCCAGTTGTTACTAGCCTCTAGGTACATTATGTCTGATTAATCACAACCCTCTGAGCCTGATCATGCAGATGTTTTGCTTTATGTATCTAGCTGCTCATTCATTCAGTCCGTAACATCCTGACCTAGATACAAGGACAGATCAAAAGCCTTGCTGAAGTGAAGGTAAATGACATGCTCTATTGTCCTATTGCCTACAAGTCCAGTCATTTTCTCATTGGAGGCAATTAAGCTGGTCAGGCATGGATTACCATACACAGATCCATGCTTGCCTTTTCCTTCATGTGATGAGAAGTATTTTCTAATGGGATTCACTCCGTGATTGACTCCAAAGTGACATAAAGGCCTGTAAGACTGTTGGTGAAGACTGGGGCAAAGGCAGCATTGTGTTCCTCAGCCTTATCTGTGCCTATCACCACTAAATGACCAGGTCCATTTAGCAATGAGCCAACCTTTTTTGCTTATTCACATTTTTGCTACTAACGTTGTAGCAGAAGCACTTCTCATTTCTCTAGATATAGGCTGCACCATTCAACTTCACTTGAACTTTGGCTTTCCTAACACCATCTATTCATGCCCAGGTAATGTTTCCGAAGTCCTCTTTCACAGCCTGTCCCTGCTTCCTCCTCGGTACTGTCCTTTCAAATCACATTACTAGCAGTGAAATGTGACTGTGGGAAGATCCAAGCTAGCAGTGAGTCCTAAGTCTCCCTGGAAACCAGCCGTCCACTTTCTTAACACTTTTTTCTTTTCTTCTTTTTAAAATACCATGGAGCAGCCCTGAGAGTTGATTACAGGCTGCTCCTGGACTCTTTGGTCCCTCACCACTGGTGACATCTTCAGCCATTATGAGCAATATTTTTAAAGCTCTATGGTTATGTATTTTGGTACTACGGGAGCTGAAACAGCTGCTTTGCAGAGTTTATCAGCTTAAAGTAAAACTCAGCATGAGTTCTATGTGAAGGAAGACAGTAATCAGACTGTCACAGTTATGTGCTGTGACAATCAAGACAAACAGTCTCTGAGCTTCTTTTTTTGTACTCATATTGTCAGTTCATTTACACTTCTGCTGAATGTTCCCTGGGGCAAGGATCACGTTTTTACCGTGCTTGCACAATGATATGCTTTGACTGGTTATGAACCAGGATAAAGGTCACAATAGATAGTGTACATATATGGTAATACAAACACTAAATCATAATAAATCTTTCCCTTTTTCCATATATTTTCAGTTCCTCAATCTATCTCCAAGCAAAAGACCCAAGAGAAGACAACATAGGTCCAGTGGTAAAATGACTGAAGTAATCAAGTAACAATTATCAGCAAATGGACAGGGGGACTCAGTGCACCCTCAGCACGTTTGCCAATGACATCAAGCTGCACGATGAGGCCACAGAATCACAGAATTATTTAGGGCTGAAAAGACGTCTGAGACCATCAACTCCAACCACTGACTGACTGCCTCCTTGTCAACTAGACCACGGCACAATTGCCATGCCCAGTTGTTTCTTGAATACCTCCAGGGATGGTGACTTCACCATCTCCCTGGGCAGCCATTCCAATGTTTTAACAACCCATTCCATGAAGAAATTCCTCCTCAGTAAGCTGGAGCAAAGAGATGTCATATAGAGGGACCCTGACAGGCTTGAGAGGTGGGAACTGTGCAAACCTCATGAAGTTCAATAAGGCCAAGTGCAAGGTCTCGCAGCTAGGATGGGGCAATCCCAAGCACAAATACAGGTTGGGCAGAGAACAGATTTAGAGCACTCCTGAGCAGAAGGACTCGGGGGGGTTGATGGATGCCAGCTTGATATGAGCTGGCAATGTGCACTTGCAGCCCAGAAAACCAACTGTACCCTGGGCTGCATCAAAAGCAGCATGGCCAGCAGGGTAAGAGAGGGGATTCTGTCCCTCTACTCTGCTCTGGTGAGACCTCACCTGGAACACTGCATCCAGCTCTGGATGTGGACCTGTTGAATCAAGTCCAGAAAAGAGTCACCAAAATGATCTGGAGGCTGGAATACCTTTCCTATGAACACAGGCAGAGGGAGTTGGGTTTGTTCAGCCTAGAAAAGAGAAGGCTCTGGGGAGACCTTATAGCAGCCTTCCAATACCTAAAGTAGGTTAGAACAATGCTGGAGAGGGACTTTTCACGAGGGCTTGTAGTGATAGGACAAGGGGGAATGGCCTAAAACTGAAAGAGAGTAGGTTTAGATTAGATATAAGGTAAGAATTCTTTCCTATGAGGGTTGTGAGATGCTGAAACTGGTTGTTCAGAGAAGCCGTGGATGCCTCATCCTTGGAAGTGTTCAAGGCCAGGTTGGATGGGGCTTTGAGCAGAAGGTGTCACTGCCCAGAGCAGAGAGGGGGTTGGAACTACATGATCTTTAACCCAACCCACTCCATGAACGTGGTGAAGCACAAAAGAAAAGAATAAAGCTGTACAGAATACGAGTGCAAAGAAAATGGGCTTTATTAGAACGGTAGCAAAGAGAAGAAAAGCAAAGGATTGGAAAGGAACATCAAGTAGCACTATCAATGGCAGATGGACACAGGAATGAGATTGCAGAAAGGACTCCTGGTACAAAAAGATGGAACATACTAGTCAATACTCAATGTCCACACAGAGACTCTGACTTTTTTTGGCAGATAATTTTAAACATTTCATGCTACATAAATGCATCCAGAACCGTCTATACCACCAAAGATACTATAGATGTCAAGGAGAAAGTGACAGGATTACAGCTCAAACAACTGACAACAACTTCGGCAAGCAAGAGAAGTAGAGGACTGTGGAGTCGGCATCCTCTATGCTTTAGGAGTACATTCAAGGCTCTACAGAGACAAAAGAGTCAATTAAGGACTCAGCAATGTGTAAGAAGGGACCGAATAACAAACGCTTTACTCACAGAAAACCTGCATTAGTTGTTAATCTCGTATTCTCAATTTCTTGAGGGTCAGTACACAGTATTGTCGTAACAGGAGCATCACAATAGCAGATTTATTTAACGCTATTTCCCGCTGATCCTTCTCACGAGCAGGAGGAAGCCAAACCGGGGGGTGTGCACCCACGGCCGCGGGAGAAGGCACCGTTCCCGTCCCGGGCCCGCGCCAGCTCCTCCCCGGGGGCGCCTTCCACACCCCGCGGCACCTACGGCTGGGGCCTGGGGGCCGAAAGCCGCGGCCCGAGGCCTCCGAGCAGAGGCGGTGGAGCGGCGTCCCAGGTGCCGCCGAGGGAGAGGGCGGTGGAGGGGCCGCCACCCCCTTGCCGGGAGACCCAAGCCGGCCGAGAGGGTGCGAACCCCCGGCGGAGGCGAGGCGGCGCCCATGCCCCGCCCCGCGAGGATACGGTCAGGCTCCCCGGCGGCAGCGTGCGGCTGGCCCGGCTCCCTCCCTGCCCCGAGCCCCGGGAAGGCGCCGCACGGCAGGGACCGCGGCCGGCGCTCACCTGTCTGCTTCTCCCGGATCCCGGCCGCCATCTTCCCGGCCGCGCCGCCCCGCCCCGCCCGCCGCCTGCGCAGCCGCCGCGACACGTGGCGGCCCCTGCGAGCGGGGCGGGCCCGGCCCGGCCGCGCCCCCGGCCCCGCCAGGTGCGCGGGGAGCGGCCCTGAGGGAACCGCTGCTCACGGTCCGGCAGGGGGGCTGTGCTGGAGCCCAGCTAGAGCGGCATTCACACCTTTCCTCTCCCCGCCACCCCCACCAGCAAAAACCCGCTGGAGTAGTTAAGTGTTTGCTCTCGCACCGAAGTTTCACGGAGGTAACTGGAACAGCATGAGCTGCACTCAGATTGAGTACATGAAAGGACTGAAGTTTCAAAACCAGGCAGCTAGCTATAAATAAAGTCATTAAGGAAAACTAGTTTCGAGTTTGCTTGCCTCTGCCCCAGGTAGCACATCTCCAGAGGCAGCTTTCCTTGGGTTCTCCATGCTGTTAACACCATCCTACAGTGGGAAGACCTCACTCGCCCTAACGCAGTTTTGGGATACTAAGATATCTGGATAAACATGTTATATATTTATATAAATCTACAGGTACACAAATGAAACTACAGAACATAGTGATAATTTAATGGAGTTTAATCCTGTGTTTAAAAAATAAAAAAAAAAAAAACTGAAGACAGTTCCATATATAACCCTTTATTGCACTTTGAACATATACATAACATTTCCCACAATTACTGATTATTTCAACACTGATGCTACATCTCTCCCATATAATGTTGCTTGAAGATGCAACAGTTCAGGCACTGATCCTGCAGTTCAAGTTAGAGCTAAAATATTTATAAAATTACATTTTCTTGCATAACATTCTAATTACTGTAAGTTTAAAAAGAACATTGTTTATGCAATATAAAAATCAGACAGTTGAATTGTTGGTTTGGGTTTTTTTTACATACATTAATATTTTAAAAATTAACTTTCTGTGTGCATACGATTTGACACTTAAAAAGTTTAAGCAATTTAATTTTTCTTTTGCCCAACTAGGAACTCCCTTAAGTAAAAATCAGTAAAGTTTGAGCTGTAAAATGCTTTACCATATAATACAGAATCAAGATAAACTTTAATATTTTGTAGGCTCCAAAGTTGCATTTGCTTCTATTTAAAACAGATTTTTTTAATATACTATTTTCAAAATGTATATGTAAAATGTGAGTGTGAATTAATGACTAATACTCTCAAAACCCTCAGGTCTTCACAGGCTGAACATCTTAATGAAAAATGTCAAAGCTGCAGTATACAAGGATTAAGTTTAAACACAGTTCTCCTTCTGACTGTATTTCACTCTTAAGCCAGTTAGTTAAAAATGCTAACAGCTTTTTCTGGTAAGCATCCTTTGAATAGGCGAAAGTCAGTCAGAAATTTCTTACTCCTTTGCTTTTCAAACATAGAGCTAAAATATTTGAGGGTGTTTTTAATTGTACGTGCATTGTTAAGGAGGCTCTACTAAACCAAATATATTATTGTTTAGTACAAAATTATCACTGTAGAAAATAAATAGCTTATTTGATATGCTTATTCCAAATGGATGCTTAGGGTTTGATGCAGAAACTGTGCGGTGAAGTTCTGTGGCCAAACACAAAGAGCACTGCAATAGTTCTTTTGTGATGCTGACAAATTTTACAAAAGATGAAATTCTGTAAGAATGTATTTACTACATAACTGATGTATATGCAATTATTCTCTGTGTTACAGAAATACTGAAAGAAAGCAAGTTCCCTAATTTCCAGGTGTGCCTCAGGTTATGTTTATGTAAAATGAAAACTACTTGATATTGCACTTTAGAGACCTGTTGTAATAAATTTAAGATTGGTCTATATAAACAAATGCTGAAAATGCAAAGAGGAGAGGAATACAACTGGAATATACTGGAATGTCTAGATAGAGCTGATCAACAGAAAAAGAAAGAAAACTTGTCCTGAATGCATAGATATCAGTTTTAGAAAATGGGAACCAATTCTATGTTAGAGAAACCCTTTCAAGCAATATTAGATATTACACAATTTTACAAATTCAGTGTGTGGATACAGCATTGTATAGCAGAAGGTTTTAAAGTTAACATTTCCTACAACTGAAAGGTTAGTTCTACCTTTATATAAAACCCTTTCAACTGCTGAATTCAAAAGAAATAAGCAATAAAAGGTGTGAACTCTATTTTTGTAATCTCAGGTATGTTTTTGAAGCTCTGTATTCACATTATCTTTGTATTTCTTTCTCCACTGGAGGTTTTAAAATGTTGTTTATTTAATTCTAAGTTCTGAACAGTTTCCCTTGCCACTACAGATGCCAGAAGTCCAGGAATTGTCCATTAAAATTATTCACACTCTGCTACTTCTGTAAGTTCTGTACTTATCACACAGAAAAATCACATAATATTACAGAAGACATTTATTTTTAACTAGGCAAGAAAAAGGAATACTGCGCTGGGTACAATACTCGTTTTTTAAGTATAATATTTGCAGGAGACTCATTGCTGTATTTTAAAAATACAAACATACAATATGTATCCTTATTAAGCAAACAAATTTGCACCAAACCATTCTCATTATAATGGCAATAGACCATTCTGAAAACCAAGAATACAAATAAGTTATTGGAAGAATGAGACTTAAAAATTGTGCAGAGATGAGAAACATGGATTATTATTGGAGGAAAAAACCAGAAGACAGTGAGAAAATACTTAGTCTATAAACAAGTCAAATTACATTCTCCAAGAGCTCATATATTTATTTTAAAGTAGATTTTAATATGCTTTTGACTAAGAACCAAAAACACTGCTAGTCCTGTGTTAATTTCTAATGACAGGACTTTGATGCGATTAGATTGTTTTAGCCACTTGAAAGTGAGAAATGTCTGATCTAAGGCTTGCAATAATTTCCTTTGACTTTGAAATAAAAATTGAAAAATTAAGTGGCAACAAGTGGCATACATGCTTTTGTTATCCAGTGATGAAAATAGGTCTTTTTATATAAAGATTAGCACTTCTCCCGGGATCAAGAAAGAGAAGCTGCAGCAGTTTAAAAATGATTTCAAAACACCTGCATATTGTTAAAAGAACTGTGTAATTTAAATAACCCCTCTGCTTCTTCGTATTTAACCATTTCTAGTGTAGTCTCAAATTAAGAGTCTTGACTGGCACTTTTGCAGTTCTTGAGCTGCAGTAAACTGCTATGTAATTGGCATTTAGTAATAAAATTCATTAATTAGAGGAATACTTGCAATGAACCCTAAACCAGAACCTGAAATCAGATTAGTATGGATTATTATTTTTCCAGAAGCATCTATCCATTTATAATTTCTATGGATCTACTTTCTTGCCAAGGTATTCAGAAGTAGAGCAATCCTGCTTGTATTTTCAATTAAAACCAAGCTATGATTAATAAAAAGGGTACAATTACTTTTCAGTATTTTGAATAATGTGCATACACATAGATATATATAGATATATACCTATCTATATTACATCTATAGCACAACCTATGTTATAGTACAGGTGGTCAAACTGACAGGGGAAAATAGTAATTTCAAAACAGAGACCTGCATACATTTAAAAAAGTGTACTTAAACACCCTTTCAGTTTCATGGTTTTAGCATTAGTAACATAAAGTGTTGCTGTGTAGGAATTTCACTACTCTTCTTTTATGGCTTAATGGTATTTATACAAATACTGCAGCACTAAAGTATCTTTTATACATTTGCTCAGAACGTACCTACAATTGAAGAGGAAGAGTTTAGAATAAAAGTTAGAAAAGTGTCAGGCCCAGACAAGCTTGATGGTAGACTGCCTTTACTTTAGAAAAGTTTTAGTGCATATTTGTATGAAAGTACTGACTTCAATGGAAGACAAATTTACATATTCTAATGAGCAACAAACTGTTCAATACTTTCATACCAAACAACACGAAGTCTAACTCATATTTCACATTGAAAGACCAATTATTGTTGCATATTCAACACTTCTAGTTTTTACTATTTTGGTCTATGTGTAATTAAAAACTAGTGTATGACAGCAGAATGCAGTAATGTGCAAATGTCAAAGATTTTGTTCAATTTTTGTTTTGAAACACAAGTTCAGTGTAATTTTGTTCTTGTGATATATTATTTTGCCTAGGCTTTCTCCAGACTTTAAATTTTAATGCATTAACCACAATGACCTTTTAAAACTCCAAGTATTTTAACTTTCCTATGTCTCTCTGAACCATCAGAATGTAAATGAATCAACATAAAAAAACAAGTACTGAAAATATATACATGGAACTGAAGAACTGCATAACAGTTTTACTTGAAACAAAGCTCTACAGAAATTATCTTAAAGATGTACCTGACTTGCCTTTGATAAATAATAAGTTACTGAAGTATGTGATACAATCCACAGACTTACCTGTTACAGAGTTTGGTACTTATACTTGTCTACAGCAAAAGTAGATATTTAAACTACTTCTGCAAGAGACTGTTGACTCAAGTAAACTTCAAAAGGAGAATTATTCAAGAAATAAAGTGTATTTTCATTTGAAAATTGTTTTCCATCTAACAATATTACTACTTTCAGCATATCTTTGGAAGAAAAGTGTGAAAAGGCTGAGAGCACATTGTCCAAAAATACAGTAGCAAATTGAAAGTAGATGTTCCTGCAGGAAACTGAAGTTTCCAACATCCAGTTTAGTAGCAAAAATACTTATTCACTTTCAACTCTTAGTGTGTTTCTGATGGTGAGCTCCATTTTATTTTTAAACTGCTGGTATGTTTTTGTTATAGGGAGCTCTAAGCTATTAAGGAGTCTGTTTCCAATGGGGTATCTTATACGCAAAAATTTAATAGTAGGTTCAGGATCAAAACCAATGGATGGTATAGACGGGGAGCCTGTTACGAACAGCAGGATATCCTCAAATGTCACTACAGACTCACCACCTGAAAAAAAAAGGATTAGGTTTTATCACTGATGGTCTATTACACATAAACCATTATCCTGCACGTTAAGTTTTAGAGCAAAAAAAAGCCCACAAAAAATCAGATCAATATGCTGAATAAATATGCAGTTCTATGGCTCAATAAGAAAATGTTTAACAAGCAAAACTCACTTGGGTTAGTTCTGAAAAATCTTAAGTGAATAGAAAAAAACTCATCTGTAAGAAAAAGATAGAAAACAGTGGGCTTTAAGACTTTAGACAAACTATTTAATAAAGGATTTTTCTGTATCACTGAAGTTGTGTTTTGTTTTCTTTTTAAATTCACATGAGTTCTAGTTCCTATCTTTCATGTATTTACCCCTCTGAAGTTTGATTATAACTGGATAACAGTTTTAGAAATTCCAATTAATAAGAAAGAGAGTGAAGAACAACAATTAGGAACTGACAGTGACTGCAAACCCTTGAATTTATTTATCCCAATGAACTTCATAAATCAAACCTAGTATACATACCAGCAACTAAATACCCTGAACAGAGAAGGGAAGAAAAAAAAATTACTTACTTTCCACATCTTGCAAATAGCCCATCCAAAAATCAGCACCTTTAACTTCCTTTACATGTGATGACGGATGGATTGTAAAGAGATCACAAATAGTTTCTGCTGAAAGTCTTTCAGGTTTGTGGCACAATACGCTAGAGAACGCATCTGGGTGCATTTGCATTTTCTCCAGAACACCAAGAGTTTTCAAACCTTGCCTAAAACTAGAAGGGAGGGGAAAAAAAAAAAGAAAAAAAGAAAAAAGAGTGACCATGCATCAGAACTCTCCGTTTTATAAAGCTGGAAGATTGGATACAAATAAATCTTCCCCATCTGCAGTCTCCAAGTCTTGTCGATAAGGTGTAGCGAATAGTCCCATTTTAACAATCTAGATGTTTCTATGGAGCTTTTTGGGCAGATGAAAGAAATACCAGTGATATGCAGAAATTAATTTTATTTCCTAGTACTCAACTGTATGTGCAAGGTTTACTTTAAACTTTTACATAAAACACAACAAATCTCTTTCTTACATTTTTTCAGAAAACAGTTAAAAATGCTTGTCTCTAGGTAAAATGAGATGTCTTAAAAGGTAGCCTTTGCTTGGCTTCTGCAGTCTGCATGTGCTTACATGCTGTTATTTCTCCCTGTGGCAAATGCAAATAACAGTATCCTGGGCTGTACCAGGAATTGTGCTGCCAGCAGATCAAAGGAAATGATCCTTTAACTCTGTCCAGCACTGGTATGGCTGCACTTGAAATGCTGTGTCCAGTGCTGGTCTCCCCAGTGCAAGAGAGAAATGGACACACTGGAGGAGAGCCCAGCAGAAAGTGACTCGGATGATTAAGGGACTGGAGCACAACCCAGTAAGGAAAGGCAGAGAGAGCTGGGATGCTTCAGCCTGGAGAAAGTAAAGTTCAGGTAGAATCCCACTGCCTACAACTATCTGAAGGGAGTGTGCAGGAGTGTGAAGGAAGTCAGAGACAAGGGGTTCTAAGTGGTGGTGCCCAGTGACAGGACCAGTGGCACTGAGCACAAACTGAAACACAGAAGGTTCCATCCAAACATCAGGACCCACTTTTTTACTGTCCAGGTGACTGAGTGCTGGCACAGGTTACCCAAAGAGGCTGTAAAGCCTCCGTCCACAGAGGTATTAAAAAGCTGTCTGGACATGGTCCTGGGCAACTGATTCTAGATGGCCTGGCTTAAGCAGGGGTGGTGGACAAGAGAAGTTCCAGAAGTCCTTTCCAACCTACACACCAATCTGACTCTGTAATTTAATTAAATGCATTTAAACACACCCACCTCTCCAAAACCAAAATCAAACCAAAGCAAAGAACCCAAACGGCTCTGTAGGTTGAAAAAAATTTCACTTGTTACTGTGCATTGGACAAGAACATTTCAAGCAACTGGCTTTCCAGTTTAGCTGTCATAATCACAATCAAAATTTTACTTTAAGGAGTTTACTCATAATTTCTTATATATTGATAGGCTGAATCAATAAAATTCAGAATAAACATGTTGGAAAGTGTACAGTTGGGTGTAGAACATTTAACAGCTAAAATGACCAACTCTTTAGTTACTCTCAGTCCTTGATAGTGACAAGCAAATTCTGTTCTACTCACTTATGCACTTCTAAGCCCATCTCCAAAAATGCACAAAACCACATTACTCCATAAACAAACAGGCTAATTATTATCTTTTACTTTCTAACTGACAAGTTTTAAAATATGATATATATTGTTCAAATATGCCAGAGGGCCATGACTGAAAGACTAATTGCTCTGAACTTTATTTAAAAAAAAAATCCTCACATTCAAAATTAGTTTTCATAGCTCTTGGAGATTCAGTTTTTTCAAATTTGTCAAAGATAACACTATAAATGTTTTGAGTATAAATTCAGCTATACTTGTTAGAATAATTAGCATCTAATGCATTTTTACTGAGCAGATGAAGAATTGGAAGTAAGGTCAGAGATCAGTCAAATAGTCAACAGCTGCAGCTTTTCCAGCTAATGAGGTCATCGCTACCTCGCGGAAACATCAATGCAATGTTAATGTTCTAAGCAGGTCACCTTGTTGACCTTATTGCTCTCCTAATAGAAAACACAAACTCCTTGATTAGAACTTTGGAAAACTCATTAAAATTTGAAACATATGTTTAACGTTTTTAAAATTTAAAGATTCTGGATTCAAGCAATGCTGAATTAAAAATTAATACAAGCTTAAGAAATTTTGTAGTCTTCGTGATGCTTTAAAAACTTAAAAGTGAAAAAAAAGTTTAAAAACTGTGAATCTGCCCTCTTTACAAGGTTGAAAAATGAATGTGACCAAAAAGTGGAACAGAGCAAATACGCAGAGAAATAATTTCAGTCCTTCAGTTTAACTAAGCAGTTAACAGTTGCTAATTAATCCACTGAAAATTACAGTACATTCCATTGGTTTAAATGGAGAATAAGTAAGAACACGTGGAAGTTAGTTTTAGCAACGTATTATTTAGTATTTCAGTGAGGAAAAAACCCAAGTAGTATGAAAACTCAAACAAAACAAACCTTTCTAAGGGTGAAATAATTCTCTTGATTACATGATGGATCAATATGTCATTCACCAGCATATTCTTATCACACAAAGCTGTTATAGGTCTTAAACATCCAGCAGCAGCAAGGAATTCATAGCAGTCATGTATTGTAGACTGCAGGCTGGACAGACTATTTGCATATTTTATCTGTATAAAAAGACAAAAGTTAGAAATTTGTTTACTACATGCATGTATATATGTGAAAAAAAAGCTTTTTAATTTCAATTAAAGTTCTATTCAGTAAGTCTTTATCTCCAAATATACTCTCAAATAAGAAACATAACAAAACTTATTGCTTATTACCATTTTTATTTTTTGTGCTACATCAACATCAGCAACATCTTCCAAAGCTGGCTTCACATTCTCTGGACCATAGACAAGGCAATCGAACAGCGTTTTGGAAAAGAAACCAGGGGATGGACCACCGTGAACCAGAGAAACTGCAATCATTTTACCAGCTTCAAAATAAAGGTTTTCTTTTACAGCTGCAAATAAAAAATATATTTGCTATTTATGCATAGAAATGATTTGTGATCCTCACTTTTTAAAAGAAAGTGTCATAATGCAATTTCTTATTATTTTAGGAGAGGCAACAAATGAAGTTTGCCATCTCCTGATGGCTGAAAGAATAAGATCACATTTTTACATAGGTATACCATATTTTTTTACTTCAACTCTTCAGCCACTATTTTAACTTTGGGAGATGTTAACTTCCTCTTCCACTTTGTACCACATGCACATTTAATTCTGAAACATAAGAACTCAAAGAAGGTAACCTGGGGTCTTTTGGGAGCATGCTATAAGAGATAATGTCCTAGAAATTTGAGGAAAGGAAAATAAGTAGCAGAGAAAGTGAGTCAGGAAGTAAGGAATTCACTTGACGAGAATAAATACATGAATTAAAAAGTTCCAAGTCTCATTATTTGCTGTATTTCTTCCTTCATTGTCATAAACATTACCAACTACACCAATTTTTTTTGCTATTATAAATCCACACCTCAGCCCCCTTCAGAATGGAATAAAAAAAGCATAAAAAAGCCCAAACAATTTCTATTCATCGAGATGATACTCAAGAACTGACACTAATACTGGCTGAAGACTAAAACATGTTTAAAGGTACACAGTTCTCAATGTATTTTTGAACAAAGCATTTAATTACCTTGAAAATCAAGAGACAAATTCTTCGCAGAAGAGCCCTCAAACAATGATGAATTCTGAAGGTGAAGCATTAATAATTGGAAGAAATGGTGTTTTGATGCAGCAGAAGTATCTGTCTTTGGTCTGTTATTGCAGTTAGTGAAATTTATTTCAATGGTGTTTGTAGGACTGAAGTTGCGCTGTCTAAATCCTTTTAAAGCACTATTCCAGATATCATCTGCATTGATGTTAAGCCTTGTTGTTTTTGTATTAACTTGTACCTTTAACTCCTTCAGTATGTTACAAACTTCCTTTCTTTGCTCTCTTAAATGCCTATGAGAAATTACACGCATTTTCAGATGAAATATCTGATTCATAATTAGCAACAGTTATACAGGAAACATTCTTACAATCTACTAAGAACAACACACCTTTAAACACCGTGGCACATTCAGGTATTGCCTAAATTATATCAGTAAAATATTCAGTGTAGATTTTTCAAATTTTAACTCTGTAGTGGTAAATTGTAAAGTACCTCTAAGGACTAGAAAAAAGGAGGTAGAAATAATTACCCTGGCATAAAAAAAGTAGTGATTTCCATCATTCAGTGACACAAACACCACGCCAAACAATTCTCACACTGTCAGTCTGCATTTGAGCAATGTAAAACAACTGAGAAATTGAAGTTTACCAATTTAAGAGATGTTTTGCAACTAAATTAGAATAATCTTTGTTGCTATAATCAAAAAGACATTTGAATGGGAAGAAATGTTGCAGTTCTCATGTAAAAAAATAAGACCTCTTCTTTGTTTTTTAATTTCCAACCAAATCTGTTTCACATACCCTACTACTAGAAGTAACTAATTGCTCCATCAGAATTTTTAGCATATAAGGTAGAATTCATCAATTAACTACTCATAGCCAGATAAAGAATTTTACATCCTTAAAATCAGTATTTTATATTAAAACATGTTGTTTTAGCACTGGTTTTAGTACAATCATGAACTATTCCTATGGTAAAAGTGCAAAACCCTTCAACATTCAAAACACGTCTAATTAGAAGAAAGCAACTAGGATTCTTTTTGTTCCATATTTTCTAAAGAATAACTAGTTGTGCTTTGGTAAAGACAAATATACATTTCTGAGTTTTTATCCCCTCACTAACGAACCTAAAACTTCTCAATAGGTATCATTCTTTTCTCCTCACACCCCTCTAGCATTTACAAACAGCAGAAACCTTTATCGAGCTATGACTCCAGGTTTTCAGTGTACTCATTCCATTTTTCCAGTGACTACATGCATACATATATATCTATATGTATCTCAAACAGCTGATACAATCTGGGCCAGAAGATTCCTAAAACACCTGGATTACAATTTTATGGAACAGGTCCTAAGGGAGCCAACTCAGAGTGGACCTTGTGAGCGAAGTGGAGATTGGTGGCTGTCTTAGCCACAGCAACCATGAGACGACTGAGTTTAAAATCTGTTGACAGGAGGAGAAGTGTCAGCAAAACCTCTACTCTGGACATGAGAGCAGACTTCAGGCTGCCCAGGGAATTAGTAAGTCAAGTCCCCTGGGAAAATGTTTTTTTTGCAGGTGCTGGGGTCTGTGAGAGATATGTATGTATATACACACACAAGTACATATAGCTACAATACACTCATCCTTCCACCCCCTTAGATATTCTGTAGGAATTATGATATAGAGCCATATGATAGGTTACTCTTCAACATAAGAAAAATTAAAAGAAAATACTTTTGCCTCAGGGACCAGTTTCTGTTTAACATCAGTGGAGATAAGGACATCGTCACTCTGTTGGATGATGGAAGTTCTAGGTGTGAGCAAGGTGACAAGTTGTTCTGGTACATTCTCTTTGGTGATCTATAAGTCAAAACAGTAATTCAAGAAGAGATACAATTGAAGAATGCATAACCACTTCTTATTTGAAGACAGCAGCATAGTTTCCCCCTACCATGAAGTCCACCAGTGCCTGAACTACAATTTTAAAAATAACAATTTAGTATTTTATTATATGGTGGTTTAAGGATCTGCTTTTAGTTGGATCCCATAGATGACATGGAAGTTCTGACTGATACATTAAGTAAAAACTAAAATTATTAATTTCTACAGACTTGACAAGTTTTTATTTCAGGAGACAGGAAAATATTCTTATAAAACATCTATAAGTTAGATTTCTAGAAGATTATTAAAATGGAAAACCCCCAATAAACAAACTTAAGGTTTTGCATTTGTATATTCTAGGTTACCTTTAAATTGTTATGGTTCCTTTAGAAAGGATCTATTTTTATCAAACAAAAAGTGGTTTTCATGCCACCAAATCCATGTAACTATAGCTAATTAACAGAGTTCATGGCTTACTTAGGAAACTTCAATCACTAAAAACTCCAGTTTTAAACAATTAGCAATTTAGCGTAAGAAGTTTCTCCTACCGAATAAACCATCACCTCCTCATGTTTAAATATTATATAATAACCAGTTTCTGATCAAAACCAAAACATTACACACTGGAGTAGAAAACTGCGTTGAGATCCAGATGACTGCCGAGGGGTCTTTGGAGATGGCTCTTCCATCAAACAAGTTGTCCCATCTGTCTTTTCAGAGGTAGCCAAAGAACGCTTTTTCTTTCTGCTGTACTTCCCTGTATGATTAAATTATATTAACTAGTATATTTGCTAGCTGTAAAGTACATTTATGTAACTTAAAGTTATCATTTAAGAAGTCACTATCACATCCACAACTTTACCTGATTTTGCAAAGATACTTCTGCATTCTATGCACTCCCAGTTTTGCTCCCATGACTTCAGAGATGAACAGGCCAAATGAGTCCCACGAGAACCACAACACTGACAACGCTTTATTTCCCATTTACTAAAATTAAAAACTTACGTATTTAGTATTAGACAGAAGTTAAAATGAAGACTATTCAATAGTAAGTGCAATCCAGACACTAATCTAACAAAGCATAATTTTATCAGCATGGTAGAAATTATTATAATCAACAGGAACTTTCTTCATACAAGATGTACTCACAAGAAGAAAAAAAGCAGCTCATGTTTCAGCACCTTGTATTGAATGAGGCTATGAATTAGTGTGCTCCCCTGCCTTGAAGTCAACAGTTTACAGGCAATATTTTCTCCCCATGTTGCTAGTCAGGAAAATACTCTGTATCTTAAGGGTATTCACCAGTCAACTTTTCCAAATGCTATTTTTTTTTTACAGGAGAGCTCTCTCTCGAAGCACTCAAACTACTGATGTGTTGTTGAACAGACATTTTAGCAGGGCCTGTTGTGATAGGACAAAGTTCCCTTCCAACCCAAACCATTTTATGATGCTATGATTATTCTTACGTTCTGAAGAAGACTCTTCATTAATGACAGTGTTTAAATATCTGTTAGGTTTTTGTCTAGACTTCTTTGATTTTGCTTAAACATACACTGGAACAATGTTAACTGATTAGTTCAAATACTGGAAGCCTCAGGTATAACCTTTAAAGGCAAAGTAAATCCTGAGGTGCACACGTACCATGAATGAACCATGTAATGCTTGGTCAAAACTGTATAAAGCAAAGCTAGTGTCTACAGTACTACAGAAACAAGTCTTCAAAGTAGAGGTTCTGACAGCTTTGAGCATACTCACAGTAATGAAAGATAAAAATTTCAGAAGCACACAAACAAAACAAAAATTCATGCAGAAAATGAACTTATTAAAAAAAATTAAGCAAGTGGTAGAGTAGAATAAAGCCTTTCATATGACCTCTTATTACACTATCAGCAGTATTCTATCTGCCATGTGCATGCAGCGGGACAGCTTGCATCTATGATTGATTTTACTAGCTTTTACACAGCTAGTTAATTTTCATGTAAGTCTAGTACTTTAACAATAATTACTTGTAAAGGCTCTAAGTATTTTAGCACTTCTTAAATTTTTGAATTAAACTCAATGAAAGACACACAACATTCATTTATGTACAAGATAATCTATGTGTTATGTTGATGCAAATTCTACTTCAGCTCTGTATCAAATGAGAACAAGGACACAATAACTGATAAGCCATTAAAACTGGTTTTCTTGCCTTTTGTAACCTGATTAGAGAAATTTAGTATTGAAATATGGAGTAAAACACTTTATTCAGACAGTGTGTTGGCTTGACATTAAAACCTGATGCTGAAAAGTATCAAAGCATTTAAATAAATAAATTATAATGACAATAAAAGGCAACAACCAAACCACACCAAAGAACTATTCCATTGTAGGTTATACTTTCCTGCTACAGCATCATACCTATCAGGTTCATTATAGTCTCTTCCTTTCTTGCAGAGACATCTTCTAATATCACAATGTTGATAACATTGCAGTAAGTCTTGATATGCGTTCTCTTCAAGTTCCCAAGACGCATCCCTATAAACAAGGTCGAAGATCAGATATTAGAACTCTATTTCCAATTGTTTAAATGGATTACATCTTTTTCCAAATATAGAGTATGTAATAAAGACATGAATGTATGTCAACCATGCAATGTTCTAGCAACAGTTAAGACAACTGAGAGAGGGAAGAAAAAAGTCTAGTAACTAAAATAATACTATAAAATACACTCAGACTTCTTGTGTACAGTTACTTTGATCTGAATTATTTATTATTTTTCACATGACTCAGTGTGTGTTTGCTCTGTTTCACATTATTCCACTTTCTCTCTCACAAGAAACAGGTATTTGTTTAGGCAACCTACTCAAGTTACCACTGAAAATGGACTCGTGAAAGGTAAACTCAGTATTTTCCAGGCCAGTATGGCAAAGTCCCTCAAATATTTTGACTCTTCCTCTCAAAAATCTTGAGCTTCTGTCTCAAGAGGGAATAATACTTCTAACAAAGAAACATCATCCTGATCACTTTCTGTCATATTTTGAGCCTCATCAAGTGGTGGAAACTTATGAAAAACAACTCAGAATTTTGGAAGTAATTATTATGCTAAACATATCCTTAGCAATACCTTGGCAGAAGATAGAAGCTGTATGGCTGAGTAATCAGTCAATTACAATTCTGTCTGGATAGAAATTCAGATAATTAGAAAACCTGGGCACAGAAAGTACACTTCTGAGCAACCTCTATGTTAAGGCAAAATTATTGTATTTACGAAGTGCTTTTATCTTTTAATTGGATTCCTAGCTGAATCATGGCATTAAAAATGACTTTTCAGAGCTTTCTGAGTTTTACGTTTGAGATAATTTGACCTTTGTCAATTTTTATGCATAACTAAAAGGAAACAGGCTGCTCCTTACCAAAGTGAACAATTCTACCACTGAAGGTAGAACTAAAGTTTCACATAATAATAGATGCAGTTCTATAGAAAAAATTAAAATGTTTTTAACACTCTATCAAATTTTTTGTAGAGGAGTGATTATTACAAAATTACTTACCTTTCTGGAATGTATATGCCCATTCTCAACATCTCTTTTTGAAATTTGTCCTTATTATTGCATACTGTGCACCTAAAGAAAAATATCCCAGCACTCAAAGCTTGATACTGTTTAAAAAAAAAAAACAACAAAAAAAACACAACAAAAAATCCAAATCAATTATGAATTCCTACCATCCTTAAGAGGTCAATAGAGAATGTCTTAATATTGATGAACATTACATTCAAGGATGCAATCCTCACATGGATGTTAACACTGACATCAATCATGATGTCACTTGACATTGATGCAAATGGTGAGCATTTTCTCTTCCTTTAAGGAGAGAGATCGCATGCTAGATCAAGGTTCATAAACAAAAGCACAATCCTTCTCAAGTCAACCTCTCCAGATCCAGAATAAATTTACAGAAAGAACATTGTAAATTTTTCTAGCTTTGGACTTAGGCAAAGATAAGTGATGATGGACAAATTTTTAGCATTCAGATTCTGCACATAATGATTTGCAAGAAAGTAACTACCTAGTAAACATAAGTGAAAGCATGAAGTGTGTATCACACCTGCAGAAACATGTGGGGGTGAGGAGAGGAAACATTAATAGCATTAAAAACACCAAAATCCTTTTTTGTCTCTGTAACACAATTTTAGCATTGTCCTTCAAATGTCGTATATTTCCATACCAACTAACTCCTTAAACACTAAGCAATTTCACACAATTTTAAGCAGCTATTCCATTGTTTTTAAAAACAGAACAAATATGATCTCTGCAGATGCAAAAAGCAAGGGAGAACCTGTGTTACCTGCAAGCATTCTCGATGAAACCAAGCATTTTTACAGCAGGGACTCTTCAATATAGTGTACGCTGGAAGATGTTCAACCAAATCCAGGCATATTGTGCACTGTGACGCTCCTCTAGATTCTTTATCAATAAAAGTTTGGACTGGTTTATGTTCCCAACAGTAAGATCTAAAAATAATAATTTATGGTTCCCTTATCAGTATAACACAGAGGTAAATTTCCTATTAGCAGCTAGTATGGATGGTGCTACGTTTTGGATCTGTGAACAAAAGTATTGATAGTACAGGGTTGTTTTAATTATTGCTAAGCAGTGCTTGCATGGAGTCCAGACCTTTTATGTTTTTCACACCAGCCCAGGAGTAAGCAGGCTGGGGGTGCACAAGGAACTGGGAGGAGACACAGCCAGAGCATATCACCCCAACTGACCAAAGGTCAAGCTCAGCAATAAAACTGAGGGAAAGAAGAAGCAAGGGGAGACATTAATTGCTACACATGATGAAGCCCTGCATTCCTGGGGATAGCTGAATACCTGTCGGCTGATAGGAAGTGGTGAATAAATTCCTTGTCCTGTTTTCCTTGCCTGCACAGCTTTTGCTTTACTTAAACTGTCTTTATCTTCATTTAAGAGTTTTCTTGCTTTTACCCTTCCAATTCTCTCCCTAATCTGCTGGGGGTAGTGAGCAAGCAGTTGTGCTTCCTCTTCTGCCTATCTGGGTTAAACCACAACACATGTAAACAAATGATGTATCTAACACAGTCAACAGAATGACAGCAAGGAAGAATCATGGTGCCAGCTGATGTTCTGTAAATTCTCTCAAAAATTCTGGTCTAAATAATGCATTTTCTGTCCTCTGAACTTCAGGTTCTTCCTGTGTTTCAATGTTACCATGACATTAAAGAAGAAACTCTGAGTTTGCATACTGATTCAGCAGAGTCTAGGTAGTGTGATAAATTTTATAATTCAGTAAATTTTTAAAGACATAAGACATCCAAGAAGTGCAGCTTTAAAAGAAACCTTTCTGAAACTGCATAATCTTCACATGTGTATGTAATGTGAGTAATTTTTTAAGTGCCTGCCGGAGTTCAATCCATCCACCCCGCTAACTCAGCTCACAGTAGGCAGGATAATGCACTCGAGTATTTTGACTACAGTCAAGATGCTAGACAGATAATAGCAAAGAAAAATAAAACATTTTTTAGACATTTGATGTTAAATTCATTTCTCCTGAAGTCCATCTCCAATAAGCTTCAAAACACAACAGAATGGCACACTGTGCTTTGACTGCTGGGAGATATAGGTACCCAAACCTCTGACATTTCAACAAAGGCACAGGAGAGATAGGCAAACAAAAAAACCCAAAATCAGTCATTATGCAGTTTATTTCAGAGTTTAGAATTTAATGCTCAATTTTATAAACAATTTAACTACTCATAGGAGCAGTAAATGATGTATTTAAAAGTGTTGAGAACTTAGTTTATAGGTATTAGGTATGCAATATAACTGTTGGCCTCCCTGTCTTCCACAAATACCATATTTTTTCTTAGATAACCCTATGTCATTTACAATTAACAGCCTATCCAATTGCAAGTCAAGAACAAACCAAGCCATTCCCTGTATAAATATAATGAATTGAAAATGGAAAACAAGAAAACCCCAAAACTCACCTGAAGTCTTCCATGAACTGGAAAATACATTCCCTTTTTATCCCACAAGGAAAATGGTAACTTCGTTTGCATTTGGGAGCTACACATCCAATAGAAGCACCCTTTTTCTTACAGATATTACATTTCTAAAAATAATTTTAGAAATAAAAGAATATTAACATTTGAAGTCCAAGTAAAATTACAGGAATTAATCCAATAAAAAAAATTATAAATAGTGTGTAAGAAAGAATATTGGCTAATAGATTGTAACTATGACAAGACTCATGTGGCTTAGCTCTGTTTCAAAGAGTAAATATAGTTATTTCACAGACTTTATGTATTGGTTTAGATGCATATTGTCTTGTGACATGTGAGTTAAAATACAAGTTATTTTACTCATACCTATAGTTTAGTTGCATCTATAAAATTATACACTGCAAGCTTGAGCCTTAGCACAATGTCTGGAGGTATTATGAAAGTGTAATTCACTAATATTCATTTATCTGCAACATACCCAGGGAATAAAAATATTTGCAAACTTTAGAGGCCCAGAGAAGCTGACTGTGGTTGCAGGATGGATTGTGGTAGCGCATTCCCACCCGCCCAGGTCACACTATAATCTGAGAAATGCTCTTTAGGCCTTGGCAAACTGCACCTCGACTAAGCCTTTAACCAAAACCCACTGCTGTGTGCTTATATAGGTACATCAGGGACTAACACACAAATTTCCATGCCAAGTATGTAATTTACTAACAAAACTTTCTAGTTGTTTGTGGACCCTTTGACTTCTGTTGTTCCTTTTGCCCAACAAGCATTTATGAATATTAGGTGCTTTCTGCCCCTTAAGGGTGGGTCATCACAACTTCTGCAGGTTTTATTTTCCCTCATGGCTTCCAAAAACCCAACAGACACGCTACTTAAATGTAAAATTCAGATTCTTGAATGGGCTCAGCACACTGTCCATTGGAAAAACAAAAGAAAATAAACTCTGCAGGCAACACTAAATGCACTTAAAAGTTACTTTTCCCCTTTTGATGATACCAAAGACATCATTCTTACCAGTTTTGCAGCTCTATTTACTTCTTTTCTAATATCTGTGATTAAGAATCCATCTACACCTTCATCTTCTTCCCCTCTCTGCCAAATGCCACTTGACATCAACTATGAAAACAAATTAAGTATTTTAAAACATTTACCTACCTAAAGATTTAAAATTACATACACTGTGCTTGTCAAGTAAGAGAGAAGTTTAGTCTAACAAAGCTTGTATGCAAATATTTAAATGACTAAAAAACAGATCCAAAACATTTACATATTTTTGTCTGATATGACAGTAGGGAATAGTAATAACCAGTAACATGAAAATATTTCATAACATCAAAGTATTGTGTAATACTGTAGATCCCAAGACAGTGTATTTTGCCTCCCTTTTTGAAGTATACAGACTATTCAGATAATTGTCAAACAATTACTTTCAGCATATAAATCTTCAGAGGAAGTAAAATTAAATTAGCTGAGTTAATATGAATGACAATTGTGCTGTGGAGATAATGAAGCACAGTAGGAAGTAACTGTACTGAAGTGCCACCTAAGAGGAAAAGTAATTCGCTTTAGAGGAGATTTAAATAAACACAGAATCAAGTAACTAGGCAAATCAAAAGAGCCTTAAGATAATTTAAAGTAAGTTAGATAGATACATTACAATCTTCAAATAACTAAACAGTTTCACAACTTGATGTCTTCTATATTCTTTACAATCTCATAATTTCAACATAGCACCATTTTAAGAACATTTGTATCAATATTTTAGTCAAATAAATGTAAAATTATGTACCAAAACCAATTAAATATATTTTCCAACTGTGATACATTTGGCAAAGAAAAATGAAACTGCACCACTCATGGGCCTCTTTCTAGAAGTCTTTTCTCATACAACATGCACTATATTTAACTAAAATGAAAGGGTTTTGTTTGCTTGCTTTTAAAAGTAGAGACACGATAAAAGATACTGTGATGAGCTTCCTGCAGTTAAAATATCTTATAAATTGTAAGGTTCAGTATTGTAAGCATGCCCTTTCCTAGCTGTTCTGCTCCATCAGGATAGGACTTCTTCCTACTGTTTCATATGGCCTTATGTGAGATAAAATTATCGCAAACAGACCTATATTTCCTTCCAGCTGCTTCAAATTTATTTAAGAAAGTAAAATTCTATCTTTGTTTAACTTCAGAAAATCTCCACTCTCCTTAGTCTTTAAAGGACTCGATATTCAACCTATTAAGCCATCTGCAATCAACACTCTTGAAAAAATTTGTTGAGAAAACATACCACCCCCCAAATTATTGCCAATACTCCTGAGACTTTTTAAACTTGGGAAAAAAAATTCAAACCGTATTTATTAAAAAAAACAAAACAACTTGTTGTGTGGGTTTGCTTTTTTTTAGGTAGTATTATTTTAAAGAACTGTAAAAATTTAGAATTTGAGACATAGTTGAAGTATACCTTTAAGAATATGAATCTTGACAAATGTCAAGGGTGATAACTATTCAACTGCAGTTTATATCCATGGTTTTGTTTAAATTACAAACTTTTAGTAAATTAGTGATATTGTAGCAATATGATCAGTAGGGTACGTATTACTAATCTGAGAAGTAGGACAATTAAGTGTTACAATGTCCTGTGTAACCTCAGAGGATAGCTCACAGCCAACGAAGAACTAAACGAGAAAAAAGAAAACCTTTCTCTACTTTTTTCCACAAGAGGTGAAATTTTCATATTCTAAATTTTGAAACTACATTTTTTTTATGGAAGGAAATATGTAGGTGCAAACATCACTTCACTGCTATATGCTATGATAGATTAGGAGAATTAAATTCATTTAAATGGACCATGAATAGAATTTAGCTTTGAATAAAGGCTTGTTGACATTTACTTACTTCATCTGCATCACCTGACAAGTACAAGCCTTCAAGCAAATGAGTTAAAGCTCACAGTTCAAGCTTTAAAACAACAAAACTGTTAAAAGAACTGGACGGATTATTACTATTAAATACTTGTTGCACTTACATTTGTTTTTCCCAGATAAACCAGAAAACTCCAAGATCAACACCACACACTTACCAAACAGTAATAATGCACAGTAAGATTGTATTCCACAAAGGTTCTTTTTTCTCCATACTTTTCAGGGCAGTCATCTGTCCGTCCACAGAGAACACAGACTAAAACATAGAATCATGTTTATTATCACAGTGAATGTACTGGAATACTACTGATCAGCTATAGAGCAGTAGCTTTCATCTCTTTTAATCACATGCACCTTCAAGTAGATTCCTGGATAAAGGACAGCAGATACCCCTTTTCTTAATGTTGAATTTTATAGTAAATGCAGAAGAGAGTAGTATTTGTTCCTTCTCTAGTTACTAAAAAGAAAATACTTCACCAGCCTGCCGATTCAGGAGAGGCCTATGAGCCAAGCTGAATTCACAAGCAGTCTGTGCTCCCAACTGAAATGTTCTTTCCCAAACACCTAAAGATATCAAATGGCCAACAATGTCTAGGTGCACATGAAGTATATCATCTAATTGTTTTTAGTATTGTACATAAAGTCATCACCATACTGGAATCCATGAATCAACTTAAATATTTCTTTCTCTACTTGTGTGATAAAGGTGAAAAACATGTGAATGGTACATCGACAGTGCCAAGTCATATGCTACCACTGCTTTTAAAACATTGAAGGCTTTGAGACAACACTGGATTTAACTAAAGGATTTCTTAACTTGAGGATTTCTTACTTACTGAAGTTCCTAGCCCACTAATATACCTCCACAGACATTTAACAGCTTCCATTTAATTCCCAGTAGATATGTAAAAGACAGATTAACAATATTCTAATAGCAAGAACAGTCATAATAGTGACAATAATAGGGGTACTGCTTCAGCCCAAGGAAGCCCTGAATGGTACACCTCAAACACTGCTCTGTGTGATTTGGCAGCTGAATTCAAAAGGTTAAAATAGTGAAAAATACTGTTTTAAAATATTCAAATTATAGCAAACAAATCCAACGAAGTTTGTAAGTTGTTTCTTTTTCATTTCCTGAGACAAGTGGTTCCAATGCAATTCCAAAGAATTGTTAGGGTTGGAAGGGACCACTGGACACACCTAGTCCAACTTCCCTGCCAAGGCAGGGTCACCTAGAGCAGGTTACACAGGAATGCACTCAGGTGAGTTTGGAATGTCTTCAGAGGAGGAGACTCCACAACCTCCGTGGGCAGCCCATTCCAATGCTCTGCCACTGTCAGTGTAAAGCTCTTCCTCATGTTGAGATGGAATCCTTTGTGTTTTAGTTTATGGCCATTGCTCTTGTCTTGTTTTGTCTCTGGACACCACTGAAAAGAGTCCGGCACCATCATTTTGACACCTGCCTTTGAGATATTTATATGCATTAATGAGATCCCTTCTCAGTCTTCTTTTCTCCAGGCTAAAGAGGCCCAGCTCCCACAGTCTCCACTCATAACAGAGATGCTCCAGACCCCTAACCATCTTTGTGGTCCTCTGCTGAACCCTCTCCAGTAGGGTTCAGCGGAGGTAGGACAAGGACAAGTAGGTCCTTGTCTTTCTCTTACTGAGTAGGCCAGAACTGGACACAGTAACTTAATTACTGAAACCCACCTGTTCTTTGAGCCCAAATAAAACCAGTTACAATTGGTATTATATATGCAGATTAAATATTTCTGAAACTATTTAATAAAAACTTTACTTACATGTACTTTGACTGTCAAAATTATTTGGTTTACTCATCCTGAGTTCTTCTGGCTGTCTGTCATTAAAAAGAAACAAGATGTTAAATACATCCAGTGCCTTAATGACCATTGTATACCTCTTGTACATTTTATTTAAAATTGTAAAGAAGAGTATAATCTCAGTAAACTAAAAGCAGGAACTATAATAAAATAATATTAGAATTCAACTGTTATTTTGAAAGATAAGGGTTCAGAAAGCAGGATGCAAATGGCCTCAGAACATTTTTTCTGGACAACGAACCATACAGCAACTTTTAACTATTTTCCCAAACTAACACACAATGTATTTTATTTTCAAAAGAGAAAATAAAGTCCAATGTAACAGCTAATTATGTACAAATGTAATTGTACAGAAGAGTTCTTATTTATTTTAAGCATCAAAAATAATGGTCCAAGACAACCTAGGTAGTAACTGTGACTTCTGCTTAAGTAAAGATTGTACTAACATGAAGAATTTGGAATCCAAAAATAACTGTGTAGGGTAATGATGTAACTATGAAGATAGTCTCTAGTGTTTGGAGAAGATGAAGGATCCTGGCCTAGTCAAAGAAATCCTGATCCACAAAAAAGAAAAAATCCAAAATTGGGACATGCATACAGGGGAATTTACATCACTTAGAAGTACGCATTTAACATTTTGAAGTGGTGAATAATTTATTCAAAAACACCGACCCTACTCACAGTTCTTTCAAGCATCATATGAGCTGCCTTTTACTATGTGCCATGCCATGCATCCAAGACTGCTTTGGGAAAAAAAAAAACCAACAAGCAAAATCCCTTGTTTCTTCACTGCAGCACTAAGATGATAATTCTTCCTCAAAAACCTTCTAGGAACATATGTGTAGATCTTTGACTTGCCTTCCCTTAGGAAGCTGAAGAAAGCATTACCTAAGTTTTGCAAGCCAGGAATCATGGGTGATTGCCTGCAGATCCACGCTTGACCTCACAGAGGTGGACAACTCCCTCCTCACATGCTGAAGTGGGCAGGGAAGAAGCAGGTAACAAATCCAAGGTCCAAACCAGAAGCTTGACAGACTCCGACCTATAAGTGGCCTGGTACTTAGTTTTGATGATTGCCAGATATCAGCTTCAGGAAGAAACCTCAGGCTAATCCAAACTACTGCAAATAAAGTACTGCAGCCATTTACAAGAGTTTTAGGATAGTTCTGTTGAGAAAGATAAATAAAAGGGAGGCAGAAGTCTCAGGCATAAGGAAACTGCTCTATGCCACTTCACTTTTAGAGGACTGGAGTAGTTGTACACAAAAGACCTTTGCCAAAAAACGGTCTGAAATGAGAACAAACCAAAAAGCATCACAACGAACTTAGTAGAAGAGGTTCTTAAAAGCACCCACTCCACCGACAGTAAGAGGAAATAATCGATTACAGTTTTCACAGAAACACACTTTCCTCTAAATTACAAAGGAAAAAATATATTTAATCCGGCACAAGGGGAGCAAAAGACAAGCACAAAACTCATACACGTTCCCCAGAATGGTCACTGTCAGTCATCAAAGTCCTAGGGTAATACAACAAAAACCCCTATCTGTACATGACAACACAAGACCAGATTTTGTAGTAAAAAGCCTTTTCAGGTGGAAAAAGCACACATGTGGCTGGAAACAAGAAACCACCTTCCTAACTTTCCTTGGCTTCAGCAAAACAGAAAAAAAAATCGCTATACCACTCCCACCAGCAATTCCTTCTACTTTTCTCGAATTCTTTAGGGAAGTGAACCCGAAGTTCGAAGTTAAAAGTTACGCGAGAAAAACCACTGAAGCCCCATGCACTGAAGGCACTATGGGGTTTTTCACAGAAACAATGCAATTTCGCACGAGTCTGTTTGCGAGACAAGAACGAACACATTAGGGCCCATACGTTTATATAAAACCAGTGTAAATAAAATGTATCTACTTTGCCTAAACAGGCTAGAAAAGTCCTCGGAGTGTGTATTTAGGTTTTGCTGAATTCTGAAACTTTTAACTGCTCTCGGACCTAAGGTGTTTCGAGACTTTTAACTACCGGATGGGCAAAGGAAAAAAAACAAAAACAACCCCACGAGGCATCGTATCAGGCACACGTGGTACCCCCAGCACACGAACAAAGGAACTCTCCCGGAGCCCATCCCTGCATCCTGTGTGTCCCGAATGTACACACGGCTGGAGCTCCAGCCAGCTCATCCCGCCGATATTCCCCAGCGCCGCGTTCCGGGAGAGACCCGTCCCTCCGCATCCCCCAACAGATGGCGGCGGGACAGCTCCCGCCACGTCCCGAGGATCCCGGCCGGCCGGGATCCGGGTAGCCCGTGCTGCCCGCACCTGGGGGAGCTCAGCCGCCACCCCCACCCGCGGCCGCACGGACGGCTCTCCCGCCGCTCGCCCCCCGCCAGTTTTAAATGCCAGTAGCGCTGCGGGAAGAGGAAGATGCTCACTTTGGTTAGTCATCAACCCACCTCCTGCCTCCAGCCGAGCGGCGGGAGCCAGGCAGCACGGACTCCCCCGAGCGCGGGCCGAGAGGCCGCCGCACGCCCAAGGAAGGGCTTGGCTTGGCTTCCCTTCCCGTCGCCGCCGGCGCCGCCCCCGCCCGCTCCTGCCCCCCGGGGCGCCACTCACCGCGCACCGCCTCGCGCCGCCCGCGCGCCCCAACCGATTCAAACGGCCGATTCAAACCCCAACATCCGCCGCCCGCCGGAAGCGGCCCCGGCGCAGGCCCCGCCCCCGGCTGATCATGGTGCTGATGTTTTGCCACCGGAGTGCTGCTGGTAGTGCGCTGCGTGACAAGGGAGCTCATTCCAGCGGCTTTGGGATGCGGGCCGCTGCTGCTCCCTTGTCCATTACAGCTGGGCTGCTGCATTCCCGAGGTCTATCTTGGGAATGCCAAGCGGGGTGCAGTTCCACACCCACACACTGGACAGTGTCGGTAGCAGAGCTCCCACCTCGCCGCCCACCTCCCTACCCACGCGGGTCTCTCCCATACCTGGCACAGACCTTTATTCCCCCTGGTAACTTGGCTGTTGAACCCGGGATCTCTGCAGCAGCTCCAGACCCACGCTCGTCCCAGTATCCAGGTCCTAGACCGCGAAACTCTTCACTACTTTACCCTGGTCTGAGGTTCGCTAGCGGCACACGCAGGCAGAACACGGAGCGTACCTGGGAACGTGGGTGGGACTTGGCTAGGAAAGTGTGCTGACCAGCTGCTTGTTTTCATATAACTAGTCCCATTGTTCCACTGCCTTTTTTCTGTGCATGTTCACACACAATGTACCTTTCTAACACGCAGTTAGAAAGTTCCAGTTTAATCTCCTTCAGGCTGAGTGATCCTTTTAATGGCCCATCAGTGGCTCGAGATTCCGATTGTCATTGTCTCTGTTGTTTCCTGCTTTTGTGTATCTGGGGCTTAGCTACTTCTGTGTGTTGCCCAAGTCTTAAACAGCTGTTAATCAGATACCCTTACAGTATGTACTACTGAGAAAAAAAAAAAAAAGGAAAAGGATGTCTATGGATGCGGAACAGGACAAAGGGTAGAGATAGACTCTATGTAATTATTTGATTGCTAAAAAAAAAAAAAAGAATTAAAAGAAATTACATTGTTTTTCCTAAATGTACCTCAGTCTGGTAGGTGTGCCATTTTATCCAATAATCGACAACCTACCTGCTATATGAAAAATCCAGAATAGCTTCCATTCTCCTACATGGATACAAATGTACATTTTCAAGAAATGTAGAGTATCATTCTTTTCTGTATTCTCTCTAGCTTGCTGACTATTCTGATATATAAAAGGAATTGTCACACTACCAGTGGGAATGGCAAGCCTTAATGTTGTCATTTGAGAGTTTGACCCCCAATCTGAAGTCATGGTCTACTGAATAAATAATGTTACTGTTATTATACTACCTCCATCTTTTTTAATATATACCATTATTTTCTTTGCTGTATGCTGTTAGGTTCCAAATACAGAGTATTTAATTTTGGTTCAGCTGATAAGTTCTGTTGGATTTATAAAAATTATTATTCTCAGTCAGGAAAAAACAGAACATTTTGGTTTTTTTCAGTCTTTATCAGTCATTCAGGTCTTCCTATGCATTAGGGAGGAAAAGCTCTAAAGGAAGAATTAATGTTTGAATGTGTCTATGTGTTTTCCTGGGTTTTATGGATTTTTTTGTTTGTTTGTTTGTTTAATGAGACAGTCTCAAATATTTTTCTATATTTATGTGAAACTCTGACTAGCAGTACATCATCTTCTAAACATCTGAAGTACGATAGGCTGTCTAAAACTCCAAATCACATATGGAGATGCTCAGTCATGGCCTGGCTTATAAAGTTTTTAGGACCTAACCATTATGTCAGCATGTTATACTCAATTTGCATGGTTATATATTAATAAAATTTAAAGTATAACTAATAAGGTCCTTATTCTTAATCGTTTTTAGAAAAAGATGGCCAGGCTACTTTAAAAATTTTATATATTTTTTTAAATCACGAACTGTCTTGTTCTTTTGTTCTCACATAACCCTTTGAAAAGTACTAGCTCACTATTTACCACAAAACAGAAGTGTTTCTTTTCTTAGTTCTCCCCTATTATATTTTCTGGCTGTTGTTTGAATGTTTTGATATGAAGTCACTTCTGAATATTCTCCGTGTCTTTTAAACTGAAATATACCACCTCTTGGCAGCAGGAGCTGTCTCACAAAACAGCAATTTCAGGTCTCCTGGTACTTCCTGGGTTGCTCTGATAATAAGCAGGTATGTGAGCAGCAGTGGTTAGGGGTGATATTTCTCCTGCTGCGAGACAGTGAGGCTTCCCCTTACAGAGCTCATGTGCTGCCTGCATTGGTGTGTTCATTCCAGGTTGGGAGCTTAATGTGCCTGTGCAAATGCGACAACACTGTTCCACTCCTCAGCTTTTCAGGTGGGACAGAAGCTAAATTGCTTACAATTTTTCCTTCCCAAGCTAAAGTTCTAAATGGTGCTTCTCTTTTGATGTATCTGGACACGGATCCATGGCCAATGCTCTGCCCAGGGCAGTTGCGGTGCATAGATGAACCTGGGGAGAGCAACCGGGATATGGATATCGAAAGTGATTACACACTGTATCAGTTACCCTTCCTGGAAGCTGACAAAACACTTAAAATTCTCTTTCTACACATGATGACCAGTTGTAGTTTATGTATCTCTGTTTCTTTACTTGATAGTTTATTGAGATTTTTAGGTTCATTAAAAAAACTTTAATAGTTTTTTCTTTTTCATCCTTTAAAGAGTCACAAAACTTCCACTTCTCCCAATCCAACTGAACTAGCCCGTAGATGTAAATGTGTTGTTTTACTTGAATAGTTCATGTTTTGGTTTATGTTTGAAAGTTATATTTAAATGTCAGCTAATACTTACCTTGTAGAAAGCATTTTGTAGAGTCACCGACTGCAGATTGTGGGTGATGTTGATGATACTTCACGAAGTATTTGATTAAGATGCAAATAGCCAGCCACAACATCTTTTCCGATAGTAACATACACCCTGTATTTTAAAAGACAGGAGAACACTCTTAGGTCTTAAAGAGAGGTGGTCTTACATAGCTTCCTCAGCTCTCTGAATTAGTTACTGTAAAGAGAAATACTTCTGGTTCAGAGGCTTACAGAATATTCCAAAAGAAAAGTGTATCTTTTTTTGCACAGTAAGTAGCTTTAGGGAAAATGGTTAGTTGGGAAACTGTTTTCATATTCTACTACCACTTAGTTCTTTGCATGCTGATGTCTTGCAGTATTTCTTGAACCTTTTAAATAGTTTAATATTTCTTGAGATGTTTGAGCATACAGATATTTAACATAATTTCGGAGATAGGTAGCTTTACTTATGAAATTCCTAATCCACCTCAGAATCTTACCTATAAAGGTTAAGTAGAATATAAAACATTTTCTTTGAGCATTTAAATAAATACTTATTTTAAAGGTGGGGAGGGCTTGTTCTTTTAAGGGCTGGTGTTTTCTGTTTAGTTTATTGTGGAAATCTTATATGTTTTATAAATAAGCATAAGTAAGCAAACCTAGCTGAAATCTGCTGAAGCAACATATTTCAATGGGATAGACTTTAGTCAGCCTATTCATCCATTTATAGCTAAACAGTGAAGAGTGAAACACGTTACCTTGAGCTGTCCAAGAAGACTCAGATGAGGGAGCAGTCAGTGGACACAGAAATCAATCAAAATTCAAATTAATCAAATTAATCAAAAGTGCATTAGGTTATGATTTTTAAAATTTCTTTTAATTTGAAGAAGGCTTTTGTCTGTTCCCTCGCTAGCATGTTACTTCTGCCAAAAACTCATGGAGAGCTCTACTGGAGAGGTGATTAATACTACCTCTTCTATCTTAATAGACTAGGACTTATTATTCCTTTGCTGATCTTCAGTGAGAAGACCTAGACTTTGGAAAGCAAGGAAGCATTGGGAAACACATCCCTGAGTTGTCACTGAGGGCTAACCGTCATTCCGAGTTGACTCTAAATTCCTTTTATCTAATGTCCAGTCAATCATATTTTCTTTTCCTTTCATACCGATGCTCTGAACATCATTCAGCACTAAGATGGTTATGTTCACCATAGTTTTTACAGAAACGCACAGACAAATCTTCATACATCACAAAAGTGAGTTATGGGGTTTTTAAAATACATGTATTTTTAAGACCTTTGTGTTTAACTGTGACAATCAAGATGCTAATTTTGCCTTCATAGGCAATGGTGGATCATCCTTCAGGGCACCTTGCAAACACTTTGTTTTCATTAAACCCAGGCAAGACAGAAACACCTGTCTAGAGTACAGTAATAGTCCTGCGCAGCACAAATCCCAGCTTCAAGGTCCAGAATGCCCAAGGCAGCTTTGTCAATTCATAAAACTTCATGTCTTTTAAAAAGATTTAGGTGCTAATATACAAATTTCACCACAAAACATTAGTTCTGGAGTCTGACAAAAACAGAATAAAAAGGTGATGGCCTCACTGATGTCTTTGCTGATTTATTTCACTTAAGAATGTATTGGGTTTGCATGATTTGGTTTTCAAAGGAGTTGGGGGGGGCTACAGGGGTGGCTTGTGTTAGAAGCTGCCAGAAACTGCCCCCAGGTCCAACAGAGCCAATGCCAGTCAGCTCCAAGGCAGAGACAATCAGCAGTGGTAGTAACGCCTCTGTGATAACATATTTAAGAAGGAAAAAAAGTTGTTCTGCAGATATAGTTGTGTCCAGAGAAGAGAGGAGTGAGAATATGTGAGAGGAACAACTCTGCAGGCACCAAGGTCAGTGGAGAGCTACAGACAGGAGGTGGTCTAGGCAACAGAGCAGACCACGGTGAAGCAGGATGTGCCCTGCAGCCCATGGAGGTTAACGGGGGTGCAGAGACTCACCTGCAGCCCCTGGAGAAGAGTCACGCCAGAGCAGATGTATGCCTGAAAGAGGGCTGTGACCCCGTGGGAAGTCCACATGTCAGCAGGCTCCTGGCAGGGACCTGTGAAGAGAGTGTGTCAATTTTAGGAGCTCTGTAAATACAGACACAGAGTCTAGTTTAGAAAGGAGACATTGTTTATTCTTTGCAGAGTGCAAGGTGGAGGTTTCCACAAATCAAGCACACCAACTATCAAAACTTTTTCCTTTTTATACGTTTTAACAACCAAAGGCATAAATGTTCCTTGGCTACAAGTTA